ACAGGTTACAGCAGGACCACTAGATTCTGAAACACCACAGACCACTCTGGAAACTTTCCAGGAGCCCCTCTGCATATGAAAGGAGGAAAAGGCAGTTATGTGCATAATGGGACATTACAGCAAAAATCTCATTGCCAGCTACAGAGCAGCACTCTGAAGCAACTCCCGAGGGGTGCTGTGTACCTGCTGAGCACCCACATCTCCCACCAACTTGGAGGTTGCACCATGCTCAGTAGGTGCTCAGCAATTAGGCTTTGCCCACCCCACTACACAGCTGTAATGTAGCAGACAGCTGTATTTGGCTGTAACCAGGAAACAGACTAGTTCTGAAGTATGAATAAAAGTACAAAAAACCTTTCATGGTTCTATATGCAACAGGAACTAAAGTCAAGAGTTTGTTGCTTAGCTCAGGCATCTCCAGTGTCACATGGCGCCCCGCTCCCCTACTCTGAGCTGCCCCTTAGCTGCGTCTTCAGCTTCAAACATTAAGAAGATAGGTCAAGGTTTTCATCTGCCATAGCATATCGCTCTTGTGTCTCTGGTTATAGGGAGTTTAGTACATCAAGGGTTTGAGGGCTTGTCTTCACTACCGTGCTGCAGGGTGCCGATGTAGCACATCTGGTAAAGATGCATTACGTTGACAAGAGAGTACTTTCCCATCAACGAAATTACTCCATCTCAACGAGAGGCAGAAACTATGTTGGTGGGAGAGTGTCTCACGGTGACATAGCGAAGTGTACACACAGCTTTAAATCAATGTATAGGGGGGGAGGGATAGCTCAGTGGTTTGAGCATTGGCCTGCTAAACCCAGGGTTGTGAGTTCAATCCTTGAGGGGGCCACTTGGGGATCTAGGGAAAAATCAGTACTTGGTCCTGCTAGTGAAGGCAGGGGGCTGGACTCAATGACCTTTCAAGGTCCCTTCCAGTTCTAGGAGATGGGATATCTCCATTAATTATTATTATTATTATAATGTAACTTATGTTGCTCAGGTGGTTTTTTTTCACACCCCTAAGCAACATAACTTGCATCGACTTAAGTGGTATGTTGTCATAAATATACAGCTAAGGGTAGCATAAAATAACCTGGTTGGCACCTGACCAAAAGGACCAATAAGGAAAGAAGATACTTTCAAATCTGGGGAGGGGGAGGTTTTGTTGGGGCTCTCTTTGTTTCTCTCTCTTGGACAGAGAGGGACCAGGGCAGGAAAAAAAACATCTCCTAAAACCCTACCTGAAATAAGCATCTAAGATTACAAAAATGGTAAATAACAGCAAGGAAATGCATTAGATTATCTTTTGTTTTGGCTTCTGAATTTTCCTTATGCTAAGAGGGAGGTTTATTCCTGCTTTTTGTAACTCTGAAGTTGAGCGTAGAGGGGAATCCTCTATGTTTTAAATCTTATTACCCTGTAAAATTACCTTCCATCCTGATTTTACAGAGGTGCTTCTTTTACTTTTTTCCTTATAATAAAGTTCTTCTTTTAAGAACCTGATTGGTTTTTAGTGTCCTAAAAACCCAAGGGTCTGGTCTGTGCTCACTTGGTTAACCCATTGGTTGGTATATTATTCTCAAGCCGCCCCAGGAAAGGGGGTGAAGGGGCTTGGGGTGGATATTTTGGGGAAATAGGAACTCCAAGTGATCCTTTTCCTGAATCTTTGTCTAACTCACTTGGTGGTGGCAGCAATACCGTCCAAGGACAAGGAAGGGATTTGGGGAAGTTTTTAACCTAAACTGCTAGAAATAAGCTTAGGGGGTCTTTCATGCGGGTCCCCACATCTGTACCCCAAAGTTCAGAGTAGGGAGGAAACCCTGACATATGTAGACAAGCCCTGAGACACAATAGTGAGGGATACTGATATTAGGTGCTCTACTGATCCCCTCTGCACCACATGGGCATCTACACGGCATTGATTAAACTCCCAAAATCCTGCCCCCTCATGCTCAGGACAAGTATAAAATCTGGGTGTCAGTCTTTTCTTTGGTGACTCCAAAGTCCTGTTCTGGAGACAGATATCCCCAACACATTAAATCTCTAATAGAATCCTCCCAGCAACTAAAATTCCCACAGAGGGGACTTTTCATAAAAGAGGTTACTAAAGTACATGTTTTTTCTTTTATAGCCTTGAGTGATCCATCAAACCCATCACAGGAAAAAGTGATCAGGATAGCCCACTAGGATCACAAACACCACTTAGGCTCCATTCTCATTGGGGCTTTTAAATGTATTTGAAATCATTTGCAAACAGTTATGGCCAGCATCATTTGAGTTGACAACTAGGACCCTATCTACACCACAAAATAACTGAGTCAGGAGTCCAAGCTACAACATGGTTGTCCTGATGTGATTTCAAACACGTGACAGATGTTAGTCACCTTGCTTAATGCACTTCTGGAAAGCGCTCTGACACTCCTGTGATAAATGCACTATAAGAACCTATCTAGACTAGAACAGAATCAGGTTATGAGAGAGTTAAAAACTGTAGTGTAGATCGGACCTTAGTCCTGTTCCCTAACCAAGCTAAAGCCCTGGACTGCCTGGGTTAACCCAG